CTAAAATTCATAAATGGACAAATGGGTTCTAGCAATGCTATATTTAAAATTTTGTCATTTACTTGTGTTTTTGTTTCTAGGTAAATGGACTTCCAGCTCCTGATGTGTCGTGGTATCTAAATGGAAGACCAGTTCAATCAGATGATTTTCACAAAATGATAGTGTCTGAGAAAGGTTTTCATTCACTCATCATTGAAGTGGTCAGAGCCTCAGATGCAGGGGATTATGTATGTGTTGCCAAGAATAGAGCAGGAGAGGCCACTTTTACTGTGCAGCTGGATGTCCTTGGTAAGCCTTCAGAGAGATTCTTGAGAGATCTTTAAAATCTAGTAGCATTAAAAAATAAAACTTTAAAAAGCCCAGAGGATTTCGTATTTAAGGTTAATGTCTATGCAACCCAGAAGAGCACCAATTTTTATCTATAAACCACAGAACAAAAAAACATGTTTTTAAGGGAAACTCAATGTAACTTACAATGACAGATCTACCACCAAAGCTTTTCTTGAAAGGAAATAAATGGTACAATGTAAGAGAGACCTAATAAGGTAGTATAAGCATTTCTAGGTATAACTGTAGGGTTCCAAAGTGAAAATTTTAGTCTAATCATTTCTCCGGTCTACAGTCTAAAGTAACCAATCTGACTCACGTTTTTACAGAATTGTCATAATCTATGCATAGCTTAAAACCAAAAAGTAAATGTCAACTTTTAGCCTTAGACTATGTTCTCTTTACTAGGAAATCATCCTCTAAGTATGGTAACAAAAATTCCATGTCTCATATTTTTCTTTAATAGGGTAGTTCTTATAAAACTGATGTCCTGTTTTAAAATTTTCCAATTTAAGTACTTTAAATATATCATATTTATAATGGTTTAAACCAGAAAGTACTGCATAAGAGATATTTTGCTATAATTTATTGTGTATATATCTTGATCAGGTAAAAGAATGGACAATTTTCTTGAGATTGTATTCTACCAAAATCAGTGAAAAATCTTTACAATTACTCTATAATATACTGAAGGGCGTCAATTTAAGGGAAAAACTATTAAGCTGGGAATCAGAAAAAGCTTTGGATAAGTCCTTCTTATGCCAATAACTCCATAAATACTATAACGTTAGAGCTGAAAGAGATCTTAGCAGCCGCCTGTCCAACCTCCTCATTTCTCCTTCAGTAAAGACAGAGATATAGTGCTACAGTATCATTTCCTCTTCTCCCTGAGGTATGTAAAGTAAAATCATAATAATTACTGACATTTACATATTACTTTATAGTTTACAAAATGCCTCTTCATTCACTATCTCAATTGATCCTCACAATAATCTTGTGCGGTAGGTACAGCAGTCACTACTACCTAGGTATTATTTTATAGTAGATAAAACTGAGGCTCAGGTGAGTTAAATGTTTCCCAATTTGACATACCTGGTAGGGCAAATAGGGAACTTAAACCAAGTCATCCAGTACTCTTTCCACCACTCATACTGCATCTCTATAAATGAAATTATAAATGAAGACATCATTAAATTCTTTGCATGAAACATGATTATATAGTCAATGCATCATTGCATTACTGTTTTAGAACTCTGAATGGTATAATAATATAGTACCTTTGTATATTATTTTATCTGAATCTAAAACATAAAGTTTTGGAATAGGTTTCTAATCTTGTTACTTCTTAAAATTTTATATCAATGTACAAACTTCATAATACTTTGGTTTGATTAAATGCTTTTTTTCCAATATTTTGAATACTTGCAATCTTTTTCTTAATATGTAGCAAAAGAACATAGAAGAGCACCAATGTTTATCTACAAACCACAGAGCAGAAAAGTTTTTGAGGGAGATTCAGTGAAACTAGAATGCCAGATCTCAGCTGTACCTCCACCAAAGCTTTTCTGGAAAAGAAATAATGAAATGGTACAATTCAACACTGACCGAATAAGGTAAGATAAGTACGTCTAGACTTAACTAGAGTTTATTTGGGTCAATCTAGATATACTTCAAAATGCACTAAAAATGGCATGTATTTATAAATTCAATTTGTCTAGCTTTACTAACAATAAAGACAGATGGCTAAGAAAATAAATGACATAAACAAGATTAAAGGGGGACATTTAATTCAAGAAAACCAATGGTTATTTGGCTAGATACAACCTCAGAATTTTCCATTTTTTTTTCTTTTTTCTGTAGGCCAGAGACATAACAAATAAGTTTTCATAAGAAAATTAAATCCTGAAATTTCCTTTTTTTCAATGTTTCTTTTCAGCTTGTATCACGATAACTCTGGAAAAGTTACTTTACTGATAAAAGATGTAAACAAGAAAGATGCTGGGTGGTATACTGTATCTGCAGTTAATGAAGCTGGAGTGACCTCATGCAACACAAGATTAGATGTTACAGGTATGTCATTCTAACAAACCAAACCAAACCCACTACCGTGGAGTCAACTCAAACTCACAGAACAGCTGATAGGTTCAAACTGCCAACCTTTTGGTTAGCAGCCAAGAGTTTTAACCACTGTGCCACTAGGGCTCCTTGTCATTCTAACAACCAAGGTGTTATAAAGGACTTAACCAGAAAGATTAATAAGAAATGCAAATCTCAGCATAGCATAAATTCTGAGGAATTTTTTCCCACACATAATCGATTTTGATTGTTTTTCTTTTCCTGTCTGATAATAAATATCTAGTGCAACCAATTTGTTTAGAATGGGTTTTCTGAATTAACTTTTATTTTATCTATTTCAGCCCGTCCAAACCAAACTCTTCCAGCTCCTAAAAAGTTACGTGTTCGACCAACTTTCAGCAGATATTTAGCACTGAATGGGAAAGGTTTGGATGTGAAACAAGCTTTTAACCCAGAAGGAGAGTTTCAGCGTCTAGCGGCTCAATCTGGACTCTATGAAAGTGAAGAACTTTAATAACTTTACCAACACTGGAAAACATAACTACATTAATAATAATATAGTCAATTAAATTTTTGAAATACATCCACAGCTGTATTAACAGGTTGTTTTAATTAGGTAATATAACTAATATACATTTATAACATTATTTATCCTTTGGCTTCTTGCACATTCTATATACTTCCTTCTCTAGTTTGCAAAGGCTACAGAAAATCTGGGTGTATGGGTTTGTAAGTGTAGAAGATTATCTTAAAATGTGGGATTTTAACATTTAAATCATATACGTCAGACAATTACAAGTTATGAACTATTATCAACCTTTTCAACACAATAATGCTTGTAATGAGATAAAGTTTACTGGTACTGCTTTCTAAATACTACTCTACCTGTTTTTGTTATAGGAATACTAACATGGTATACATTATCTGAGTGTTCCATAGTTTTATGTCAAAAGAGAATAAAATTTAAAATATTTAAAAGACTGTTTCCTCTTCACAGAAGTCCAAAACTTTAAAATAAAACTTGTTTTATATACATGTATATATACTAAGCAACACTCAGCAAAACCTATGAATAACAAGTTCCAAAAGGGCAACAATATTATTTTCTAGAACCGTGTCCTCTTGGTGGAGCTCACTTACAGTTCAGTCAATTCCTCCTGAAACTGAGCTGTATTTTCCATGGTTTGCACTTCAAAGACAACCACAATAACGTAAAGCATGACTGAATTGCTTCTGAAACTGTAATTTTGTTTTAACCGAATAGGTCTACAATTCTTTGAGATCTTTGGGTCTATCGAGCTCAGTGGAATAGACACACAGGAATAATCTCTAGAGGTTATCTGTATAATTCCTATATTTAATGCGAACTCAAATAACTATTTGGTGTTCTTCCTTCTACAATTTCAAGTTCAGTGTGCACAGATATCTGTCACATTAGAAAGCATAATTTTGTGAGCATCTAAGAGTCCAAGTGCAGAAAGGGCAAATCCTTTTATAAAACTATTCTTAAGCTAGCACAGTAGCCCTTTCTTTTTCTCAGGTCTCTCCACCAATGGCTGTTAGCCTTTTGCTAGGCCTCTCCTTTGCCTTTCATCGTGGTAGTTTTTGACCCTCACTACTGTACGGCCTAGTTTTGTTTTTTATCTGCACATAAAAACAGCATTTATCAACATCACTCTACATCCCTTTCAGGGAAATAACAAAAGTGGTTTTATTTTGTACTTTCAAAACAGGATGGCAGTTTTCCTTGCTGGTAGCCTCCTGGGGCCTCTGAATTGAATTCCCATTTTACCGACACGAGAATCCTTCCTGTCATATCTTGGAGGGCTTTTGGCTGCCTTAATTTACAACCAGATTTGTTTGGCCTTTTCTATAGCTGGTTTACAAACTTTTTTATCATCTTTGCAAAATTTCTGCGCCAGATGTGGGTCTGGGCTCCCAAGGACTACTGTTTTGGCCTGACATTTTACATAATCACTGCAGAGGTGGGTTTTTTTGTTTGTTTTCTATTTTAAGGTTTTCTTTAGCCATACTGGGGCAAAAGGGAGTGGGAGCTATTTCCAGCAACAACTCTCGATTAATAATAACTAGTTTCTGCAAGCACCAGCGGTAGCCTCAGGTCACGGTTAGAAACTCCGGGTTTAGCGTCCGGCAGATGTTGCCTCGACCAGCCGTGTACTTCCGGTAAGTTATTTAACCTCTCAAAGCCTTGGTTTCTTCAGGCCTGAAAATACATACAAACCTACCCACCTTTCAGGGAGGTGGACGTGAAGACTAAAGGAAGCCGTAACTGTTAAAGGTAGTCAATAATTATAATTACTACGATTTTTATGATTAACCCCAGGCCCAAAGCCTGGTTTGCGCCAGAAGCGAGCCGTGGAAGAAGCAAAGGCCGCAGGCCCAATCCCCACCTCAGATTAAGCCCTAGCCGGGGGCTCCTCGGTGCGCACGCGCGCCTGCAACTTGTTGAGTCTCTTGAGCCCCTGGAGCTCGAGGGCTCGCGCAGGCGCTTGAGCTAGAGAGAGCGCGCCGCTAGACTACTGCGCAGGCGCAGCAGAGCTGGGCTGATCGAGCGGGCGTTGTTGTCCAGGTTCCCCATGGCAGAGGCTTCTCGGTGGCGCGAAGGCGGTGAGGGGTGCTTTTAGGGAGTGGGTGGGACGAGTCTGATTGGGCAGTTTTAAATATCCTGGAAGGAATTCTGTAGCTCCAAGTTTCTATTTATGTGAAAGAGATGAACGCCAGCACATTTAGCCCTCATATCCTCCTGTTGAGAAGCGGGCAGGGACAAGTGGTCGCATTTCACAGACGGGGAACGGAAGCTTTCAGAAAAAATGGCACCTGTCCCTTGCCCGAAGCTCGAGCTTGGGCGCTGTCATCTGCTGTACAGTGACCGTCGCTAGGCCAGTCTCCGAAGCCCTTTTCTTGACCTAAGACTCGTGGCCTTGACAGAACCCCATTCAGAGCGCTTTTCCCCCATCTGGCAGAAGCTAGCCTTCTCAAGAAGCAGTATTGAAAAGTAGAGATTGGTAGTAGATGGGTTTTTTGGTGGTTTTGTATTTTGCCTTTTCATTTCAAGACAGGACTGATGAAGAAACATCTGTGTTATAAAATCTAGTAGTATACAATTATAAAACTACTACCCATTTACCCTGATGGGAAAACCCTATTTATCCCTGCCTCAGAAAAATGGGAATCAAAAAACAGAAACCATTGGAGCTTTCCTTGGCACAGTGTAACAGCTAAAAGTGACTGTCCTTTTCCAGCATTATAAATTAAATACATTATTACATAATTACATAATAATGTAAAGAAAATTTTTGTTTTATGTCTCACAGGGACTCCGAAACATAAGCTGAAATACAGGAGGGAAGTAGAAATTAGAACCACACTTCAGGAGTTGTTAGTCTACTTTATTTTTTTAATAAACCTATGTATATGTAAGTACACAGATGTAGGTAAAAATGCTGATTGAGCTACGAAGTTAAAATGAGATGAAAAATAAAACATAAAGGCTTTAAAACCATAGGTTGTCAGACTACTAAAATCTCTCAAAAAGTAGTGACACATTTTAGATACTATTATATTTATTTAGATTGATGCTATTTCCAGTTCTTACAGGGCAAAACTTAAGGTCACAAAAATAATGAGAAGCTTCCATAGTAAGTGTTGATTGAATATAATTATTCCTTTGGGTTGGCAGTTAGAGACTTGATTTCTTTTAGAGACCATATAGACAGATTAGCTCAGTTGTGTAGATCAAAGTATGAATAAGGCCAAAGAAAAATTAGTCTTGGTGTCTGCCATTAGCTTTTTTCTTCTTACTAACATGTAGCACAGTTAATAGTAAAATATGTTTGTGCTGACTAACAGAGTGTATGGATCAATGGAAATCTTTAAGCAGAGCTGGGAAAATGTCACAACCTACATTCCTTCTATCTGTGAGTCAACGTCATTGACTTAATATTTGAACCAAACCAGTTGCCATCAAGTCGACTTCAATTCCTCATGAGCCTGTGTGTGTCAAAATAGAACTGTGCTCCATAGGGTTTTCAGTGGCTGATTTTTAAAGCATCTCTGGGTAGACTTGAACCCCTAACCTTTCCTTTAGCAACCAAGCATGTTAACCATTTGTACCACCCAAGGACTCCTTAATATATGGAAGGCAGTATTAAAGAGCATTTTGTTTTGAGTGCCCAACATACATTACATGTAAGTCCACTCACTGGCCGTACTTTTCTCATATTTGTATATGCTACATAGTGGCAATTGTATACCAATTAATTAGTTAATTGGTATTGTAGGAGTGAGTTTGAGTCATTTCTTGATTAAAATGACAACTGTAGCCAACGTTATAAATTAAGATCTCTTAGACTGGTATTTAAATCTTCATTATAAAAAGAATATATGCTTATTATAAAAATATTTGGGAAATGGAAAAATATAAGTAAAAAAGATTACTTATAATCCCACCATTTAGGGAAATGAAAACAAACACTGTTTTTGCAATAAGGAAGAACTGAATACTATGCAATTATTAAAGAATGCCATAGGCATGTATATGCCATGAAATGATGTTGAAGATACATGGTTTTTAAAAACTAAAGGGTTTCTGGCCAAAAAAAGTAAAATATTTAGTCTACAACTCTCTCAAAACCCCAACCCACAGCACCCCCCAAAAAAGAGAGAGCAAGACAGAATGCTAGTTAATATTTTTTTTTAACTCTTACCATGTGCCAAACACGGTTACTTCTCAACAAAACTATGCAGTAGGAGCTATTATCCCGATGATGGAACTTAAACCCATATCTGTCTGAATTAAAAGTCTGTAGCTTAACCACTTACCATATTATGTTGTCTACTCTCAATGTAGAGAAAAAAAGTCATGTTTCAGAATAGCATGTAAAACATGATCTTATTTTCGTAAACAAAAAAATTCTTTATAAATGTATGTATAAAGAAAAATCTGAAAGAATATATGCCAAACCTAACTCTAGAGGTGGGATTACAGAAAACTTCTTCCTGCTTTGTATATTTATATTTTTTACTTTTAAAAAATGTCTATTTTATAATTAGAAAAAACAATAGAATTAAATTTTTAAAACATAATTGGGAACAAATTGTGAATACATTTATAATCCTGATAAACTGAGTTTTTAAACATAAATTTTTAAACAAAAAATTCTTCTCCTTAGTGACTTTTGGAATGGTAAACCCACATATGTATTACTTAAACAAAGTTATGTCATCTCTATTTTTGGACACTTCTGTGCCTGGTGATGAAAGAACCAACTTTAAGTCTGTTCGCAGCATAACTGATTTTTGGAAGGTAAGGTATGTGACTGTGGATGATGTAGCTTTAGGTATTCCATACCAAACCCTTGGCATATAGTAGACACTTAATATTTGTTGAAGGCATGAGTAAAAATATCTCTTCTTCAAACTATAAGAATCAACCAACCAGTAAGTGTTTATTGATAACTTATATTCTCAGTGTGATAGAGTTTTTGTAACTTGAAAATATTAATACTTATTTTTTTAACATTCTCATTTGTAAAATAGGAGATTTGCTTCTTATGTGAGGGTTAGCATCTAAATTCAGTCTGTAATTGTGTATAGTGAAAATTACTCTTAAAGATTTAAGTTGCCCATAAAGTGTAATATGTGGTTTTGGTATACAGTCCTGTACTCTGTGTGTGTGTGTGTATTACAGTAATGTACAGTGTATAATAGAGTACATATACAGAATATAATTTTATAATGTTTGTAAGTACATAAGAGAATTGTTCCTTCAGCATTGGAACAGACTTTTTTGTTTGTTTATTGTTGTAGTTTAAGTGAAAGTTTACATTTCAAGTTAGTCTCTCATACAAAAATTTATGCATAGATTGTTATGTGACCTTAATTGCTCTCCCTATACTGTGACAGCACACTCCTCCTTTCCGCCCCTGATTTCCCATGTCCCTTCAACCAGCTCCTAACCCTCTCTGCCTTCTCATCTTACCTCCGGACAGAAGCTGCCCATTTAGTCTCATGTATCTACTGGAGCTAAGAAGCACACTCTTCACAAGTATCATTTTATGTCCCACAGTCCAGTCCAATCTTTGGCCTCGGGAATTGTTTTAGTTCTATTTGTATGACAGCTCTTATTTCTCTAGGATATATTCCAAGGAGCGGGATTGCTGGATCTATGGCACTTCTATTTCTAGCTTTTTAAGGAAGCCCCAAATAGATTTCCAAAGTGGTTGTACCATTTTATATTCCCACCAACAGTGTATAAGTGTTCCAGTCTCTCCACAACCTCTCCAGCATTTATTTTGTGTTTTTTGGATTAATGCTAGCCTTGTTGGGGTGAGATGGTATCTCATTGTAGTTTTGATTCACATTTCTCTAATGGCTAATGATCGTGAGCATTTCTTCACGTGTCTGTTAGCCACTTGAATATCTTGTTTGGTGAAGTGCCTGTTCATATCCTTTGCCCATTTTTTAATTGGGTTATTTGTCTTTTTGTTGTTGAGGTTTTGCGGTATCTTGTAGATTTTAGAGATTAGACGCTGATCGGATTTGTCGTAGCCAAAAATTTTTCCCAGTCTGTAGGTTGTCTTTTTCACTCTTTTAGTGAAGTCTTTTGATGAGCATAAGTGTTTGATTTTTAGGAGCTCCCAGTTATCTAGTCTCTCTTCTGGTGCTTGTGCATTGTTACTTATGGTTCGTATTCTGTTTATGCCATGTATTAGGGCCCCTAGCATTGTCCATATTTTTTTTCCATGATCTTTATCATTATTGATTTTATAGATAGGTCTTTGATCCATTTTGAGTTAGTTTTTATGCATGGTGTGAGGTATGGGTCTTGTTTCAGTTTTTTGTAGATGGATATCCAGTTTTGCCAGCACCATTTGTTAAAGAGACTGTCTTTTCCCCAATTAACAGACTTTGGGCCTTTGTCAAATATCAGCTGCTCATAGGTGGTGGAACAGACTTGTTTTTCCATTACACTTAACATAGCAAGATGCTCACATTACAAAGAAAGAATAGTTAAGGGAACAGCAGTTTCATGTATCCCATGTCATAAACCTTGGGGCATACAGAGAAGAGGCAGTTAGAGAAGGCTTTCCAGCGGTTATGACAATTCAGTTGGGTGTCAGAGGATTAGTAAGGGGAGAGGATCCTAGGCAGAAGAAATAATAGGTGCTTTAAGTAATTCTATATGTAGAGCTATGGTTGGCATTATGGGCATATGAAAGATGAGATGGAAAAGGATAGAGGTCAGTCATGAATGCCATGCTAGGAATTTCAAATTTATCAAGAAGACAAGGTCATTTCCTGAGAGTGAGAGGGGAAGTGTGAGATGAGGGCTAAAGAATCATAGGTCATTTGTTTAGGCCAGGTAAATTATGAAAGAATGAGATGAGATTTTCCCTGAGACAAGAAGTGGAGTTCACCTGCCTTTTTTTTTTTTTTTTTTCCAGTTTTGCTGTCTTGAGGCATGTATGTGGCCAATGCCAAAGGCAAAGGAAGGAAAGAAAAAATGATGAACCCTGTGCTTCAGACATTTAGAATGAGCATATACGGGTAGAGTCAGGAGTAGCAGTCACTATGGCCAGAGTTGGGGTGGGGGGACACAGATAACTTTGAAGTCATGATGTACAGTTACGACCAGCTTTAATACTCATGTGTTGGGGGACAATTTTCAGTATACACCTCATATAAGAAATGGAGAAGAAGGGTTATGGAATTAAATGAGATAATACTTATAAACTACTTAGAGCAGTGTCCAGTGCCTAGTAAGTGCTCAGTAAGTGTTAGCCGTCATCATCATTGTCATCATCACCATTAATATTACCTTTAATCTTTGTCCCAAATCTCTGATTTTTATATTCTTGAAGATAGCATTATGAGTGTAGATTCTATTGACATGAAAATATTTTTCCCATGACATTTATCTTTCTATATAAAGTTTATGGAAGGACCCCTTTTGGAAGGTCTATACTGGGACTCATGGTATAATAACAAACAGCCGTATAATTTAAAGAACAGCAGTCGCATCTACTACGAGAACATACTTCTAGGAGTCCCAAGAGTCCGTCAACTAAAAGTCCGCAACAACACATGCAAAGTCTATTCATCTTTTCAGTCTTTGATGAGTGAATGTTACGACAAATATACTTATGAAAATGAAGACCTGTCTGATTTTGGCCTTAAACATGATACTGAGTGAGTAGTATAAGAATTATGCAGTAACTCTTTCTTGCAGCTTATCACTGTATCTTAATAAAATTGTGAAAATATGTGTATTTTCCAACTAATACCAATGGGTCTGGCTGGTAAGGAGACTTTCAGTAATAGTATATATCAAAGGAAGATTTAGAGACAGAAGCATGTAGAAAACGAAATTAGAAATTTGCTTACAAAGAGTGCAAGGACTTCAGAAGGATTGGCTTGCCAAATGAAAGTACTTTCAAAGGGAAAATGCTGTTACTAAGGTTGTCAACTTGACATTAGTCTGTTTGTGATGGAAAAACAACTTTCTCACATGATAATCATCATGTTCACATTGATCGTGCAATATTTTCAGATGTCAGTATAGCAAAATTCAGGGAAAAAAATGTGTTTACTAGAGAGTCCAGGTGTGTGGGAAATATTTAAAGTTTTATATTCTTTGGGGACTAGAACCAGTAAGAGTGACCCTGTTATTTTAGTTTTTCCATAGGATGCAAAGTGTTTTCTTTTTTGACTGTAGTATATGCAGTGTTGGGTTATATTGGACACAGGATGAAGTCTCCAGTTTTGCTTCTACAATAGTCAAATAATCAGCTTTTTTTCTGGTTCTGGCCATACTCACTCAGGCACATCCCAAATGCATCTTGGGATCCCTAGGGAGTGTTTTAGGTGTGCTCTGCCACTTTCCTCCTTTCTCACTCTGTCTTACTTTAATGATTTTTTTCTGTTGCTGAAATACTTAACAGGGGCAGTTATGCTGTACAGGCATTTCATCTGATGATGCCTGCCAATGATGCTATGGCCATTGTTCTCCAGAGTGGCTGAGGCTAATGCTGGGGTAGATATGTCTATACTTAATAATGTGGAAGCCCAAAGCTACTGGCATCACCTCCCCTTGACACATAAACTACTGGTATCAGTGATGTTAACACTTTGTGCTTTTAGATTCCTATGAAAATTATAGGAGAGGAGAAAATAAACTTTTTAAAATTTTTATCAAAGTGATCCAAATATTTACAAAGTTCCACCCCTTCTTACAATTTCCACTGTCCAAAAGCAGCCACTTTTAGCTTAGTTGTTTCTTCTTCCTATTTCTAAATAACATGCTTATACTGCTATTTCTTGATTTTTACAATTTTATATATCTTTTTTTTTTCTGTCATGGAAGGTGATCTATCATGTAGCTGTCTTATGCACCCCTTCTACACATACTTCCTATTAACTTTTCAATATAGATACGCTGTAATTTTCATTAACTCATTAGTCAACGTTTATGCTACAAATATGAACTATGATTGCATTTCCTTTCTTCAACAACCTCCCCTGTACCCTTAGGATTAATAATTTCTTTGTGTTTTTTCCTTTTTTTCACTTATTTTTCCTTTGAATGAGTTTTTGGGTGTTCTTGAGGGCAACATTTCTGCACAGAAAAGACTGTTTACAGTTGATTTGGTTTTTAAATTAATATTTGGCTTACGAAGCCCAATTTTCCTTAAGCTTTTCATTTCAATTAATCTATTTCCACTAAATTTTAACAATCACTTCACAGAGGATCTTTGAGAAATGTTGAGAAACATTTACAAACAGTTAATTGAATTTACTTAAACTTTTTTAAATTAATAATAAACCAGTTTTAATTTTAGAAATTTCAGCTATCTCACCGAAGTAAAACTTTCCAAAATGCTTGTATAATTCTTACAACTTTAAAACATTACATTCATAAATATGGTTTAAAAAATTACATTCATAAATATGGTAACACGTTCTCTTAAATATTATAATGCTAGTCACTATTTCCCTCTCAACCTAAAAATTAAAAGATAATCAATTACACATTTTAAATTGGAATCTCTAGACTATCAGATATTCTAATATTCCAAATTCTCATAACTACTATAAGTCCTTTAATACCAAAGTTAACACTATACATTTGACTTATTTTACTATCTCTATACTTAATTTGGAAGGAACCCTGGTGGTGCAGTGGTTAAAGTGCTCAGCTGCTAACAAAAAGTTCAGCAGTTTGAACCCACCAGCTGCTCTACAGGAGAAAGATGTAGGAGTCTACTTCTGTAAAGATTTACAGCTTCAGAAGCTCATTGGGGCAGTACTACTCTGTCCTGTAGGGTTGCTATGAGTCGGAATCGACTCCACGGCAGTGGATATAGTTTGGTATACTTAATTGAAATTATAATTCCTGTCATTCTCCAGCAGCCAAAATAAGAATCAATGCGTGCTTGTTTCTGTCTGTCTAAAACGTAGAATTCATTAATTAAAAACATTATAAAATGTTGGAAGCTAGGAGAGGGTTGGTGTAGCAAATTTTCCAGTTTCAATGTAACAATCATATATAGAAAACACTCAAAAATAACAACTATGGCACTGTCATTAAAATAGTCATTAGTGGAGGTGGGGCCAAGATGGCAGAGTAGTCAGACACTTCCTGTGGTCCCTCTTACAACAAAGACCTGAGAAAACAAGTGAATTGATTATATATGACAGTCTAGGAGCCCTGAACATAAAAGGCAAAGTTGAGGAAACAGACTGAATGGCAGGGGGATGAATGGACAGTTCAGAAGGAGCAAGGAGTTGCCAGACCTGACCTGGCAGGAACCGGCACCTTGCAGGCCAGATCACCTGGCATGCGTGGTGCGGCAAGCAGTGGCATTCAGGATGCGTTTTCCACATCAGGAGAGACCAAGCATCAGAGAGTCTATTGAAGCCTCCAGAACCAATGTAAAGCGGCACTCAATCGGCAAAAGATAAATACGTGCATCTGACCCACCACGTGGATCAAGAAACACCTCGTTTGGGAAGAACCTCTCTCCCATTGACCTGCCTCATCGCTCTATACCAAGTCCCGGGCCAGCTTCAGCGATTGCCGCATCCCCTGGGCCAGAAGTAGGACCTGAAACACTCCCTGATCCAGTCTCCCAGCCTTGGAGAGGGAACAAATTAACAAACAGGAAAAAATAATCTGCCAGCTCCCCTAAGCCGGGAATGCAGAGCAGGTGCAGCTCCTTTGCCTAGGCACAGGCATAAGGTGTCCATGGACTTTGAATGCCTTTTACCCCTGCGTAGACCTATGTGAGCCCATTTCAACAGCGTAGGCCCTCATTAGTACGATACAACAGGGTATATACCTGCAGCCTAACTTCAATGGTATCAGCTACATGGTGGAGTGGCAGGTTCATGACATTTGATACCACTCTGCCCATTAAGCAAGGTCCTCACCTATCCACATCAAGGGCCTGAGGACTAGTGGCTCCACCCATGCCACATAGCCACCTGAGACAGGGGTCTAAGAATAAATGGTGCTTTCTAGTCCTTACAGCCAACAGCATTGGGTGCCCATAGTCTGGCTGCAAAACCCACCCACCTATGCACTCTAGGGAACAGAGACACACTTTCCTCTCAGACACCTAGGCAGCCGTCAGCCCCCTGCCTTGCTCAGCACCTGACCCCCTACTGCAGCCAGGTACCTGTGCATACTCCAATCACCCTGGCCATCTAAGACTAGGTGAGAGCCTGCACCACACACTTGGTGACTGACTACCTGGACACCTGAGTTGAAGCCATGCAAGAAAAGTAAACAGACCTCTGGGCTTACATATCTAGTAACAGATCTAACCACCTGGTGACAGGACATTAGAGCTTCAAAGGCAACAATAATCAAACTAGCTCACATTAGCAGCCTATTTGGGCATATCAAAACAAAACAAGAAGCTAGTACACAGTAAGCAAATGTAAAATAAATATAACTTATTGATGGCTTGTAGACAACAGCCAATATCAATTCACATAAAGAGGCAGAACATGATGGCTTCAGCAAGCTCCCAAAATAAAGAATCAAGAAATTTTCCGGACGAACAGAACTTCTTGGAATTACCAGAGGTAGACTACAAAAGATTAATATACAGAACTCTTCAAGAGATCAGGAAGGAGATCAGACAAAACACAGACAAGCCAAGGAACATAGCGGAACTTAAGAAGATTATAGAAGAGCATAATGACAAACTTAACAGGCTGCAAGAATCCATAGAGAGACAGCAATCCGAAATCCAGAAGAAAATGATAAAATTTCATAATTAGACAACCCAATAGAAAGTCACAGGAGCAGAACTGAGGCAATGGAAGTCATAATTAGTGAGACTGAAGATAAAGCCCTTGACACCAACTTATTTTTTTTTTTTTTAATATTTTATTGTACTTCAGGTGAAGGCTTACAGAACAGATAGTTTCTCATGTAACAGTAACACACATGCTGTTTTATGACATTGATTAACAACCC